GCCAGGCGGCCCGCGGCAAGATCGGGGGGGCAACGAGAAGGGGGGGGGGGGCATAGGCATACGGTCGGACCGAGGGATGCGGTCGAGGTCGGTTCGGGGAGGGTACCTACCCTGGTGTTTTTCGTGCTTGCTGGATGTTCTCGTGCACCCTGGGGCCTGGGGAGGGAGCCCTTGGATGTGCTGTGTGTTTTGGCCGGCGGAGTGTCTCATGTTCTTGAAGGATGCTCTTCTGGCCTAGGTCCGATTGTAGGCATAGGGGGATGCATGGACACCCAGTCGGTCATTGATCGCTGATAGGGGCCCGATGGCGCTCCCCTCCAGGCACGTGCGGATTCACTATTGGGGCCTAGCGCCGCTCTGTCGGCGATGTATCGCCGATTCTAGATCGATGTTCCCCCCACATGCCAGTCCCCCCCTATCGTCGACCCTAACAAGAGACGGGCCCCGAAAGCGCCCTACGGTCGGGAGCTTCTGCTCAGCGTGGCGCGCCGCCAATTCTGGCCCACCGCGCTGCGGGCGCGGCACGCTAGCCATGTCAGGGCCCCACAGGCATCAACGGCCCGAGCTTTTCCCAGCCTCGACCGACCGACCGAGGAGGAGGAGGAGGAGGAGGAGGAGGAGGAGGAGGAGGAGGAGGAGGAGGAGGAGGAGGAGGAGGAGGAGGAGCAGGAGAAGAGAGGAGGAGGAGGAGGAGGAGAGGAGAGGAGGAGGGAGGAGGAAGGAGGAGGAGGAGGAGGAGGAGGAGGAGGAGGAGGGGTGGAGGCCCCAGAAGTGCGAACCCCACTTCAATCAACGACCAGCTTGCCAGGTGCAGCGTGGCGCAGGGGCCGCAGCCGCGACGCGCCGAGCAGCTGTTTTCCTGACCGCAGGCCGCCCCCGAAAGCGCGCGGCTGCTCGCGCTTCGAGCATCTCGGCTTGGGTTGGAGAAGCGCCCTCCTCCGGGACGGCGGCGCCAGGGCACGAAGATAGCCCCGCGTCGCGCCCCTCCTCCCCCTCGCTCCCCCGTCTCCCCCCTCCTCCCACCTCCTCCCCCTCCTCCCCCTCCTCCCCTCCTCCCCCTATCCCGCCCTCCTCCTTCCTCCCCCCTCCTCCCCCTCCTCCCCCTCCTCCCCCATCCTCCCCTCCTCCCCGTTGTGAGGCCACCGATCTCCGTCAGGCCCTCCTGGCCTAGCCCTGGGAGGCATACACGCAGACACTGGGCCCAGCCGGGGACGGGTGCGGGTGTGCAGATGGCGCCTCTCGCACACCTCCCCGCCAAGAGCTCCAGCGTCGCTTCTGCTCATGTTTGCGACGCGGGCCCCTCGCCGTCGCTCGGACGTCCGTTGCCCGTGCATCTGTTCGATTTCGTGCGTGGTTTATTTTTTGGCTCGAGGATCCATGATGCTCCTCGATGGTCTTCGCCGTGGAAAACATGCGCACGCGTCCGAGCGATGCCAGGCCGGGTCCCTGGGTCACCCAGCTTTCTTCGCGCGCCGCGCCCCGCGAGTAGGCCTCCCAGATGGGGTCGGAGCAGATGGGGTCGGAGGATCCCGCCGCATCGCCGATGTATCGATGATGCGGCTCGATGCGGGGCCCGATCTTCTCCACGTCGGCGTCGCCGACGTTGGCGATGCATCGCCGATGCATCGCCGATGCATTGGCGATGCGGCGTGATCCTCCGACCCCGTTTTCTCGGATCCCATTTCGGAGGCCTCTAAACGGTGTGGTGACCACACCGCGTGTCGGGGGCGTCCAAGAGGGGGACGTCCAAGAGGGGGAGGGCGCAAATCATGGCCAGCGGCATGTGCGCGGCCCAGGGGTGGGGGCGGGGACGTAGCGAAATAAGCAGAGGCGCCATGAAATTTCGGAGGATATCATGGCCCCCGCCATGATATCCACCCCTCCCTAGTCATCCCCCCCCTCTTGGCCGGCCCCGAGCGTGGTGAGCCGGTGGTGATTCCTGGTGCTCGGGCCCTTCTCCGAGGACGTTTCGCCCGACTGGGGCCTCCCGGGTCTCCAAACCGTGCGGCGGCGGACCGTGCGGTGGGGTCCTTCGAGAGTTCGAGGTCACCGCGCGGCCCGCCACCACACGGCTTTGAGAGACTCTCCGGCAGATCTTGGGGTCGGCACGCGGGCGGGCCGGGAGGGGTGCAGGCGTGCAGCCGGCGCCTTCCGAAGCACTGTCGGGGCGGGGCTGCCCAAGACCAGCGCGGAGCGTGGAGGAGGAGGAGGACCAGAGTAAACCCAAGCCGCATCAACGACGTTGCAATTGACCCTTCCTCCAAGTTCGCTCTTCACAGGTCTTTGCAAGCAGCTCTTTTCACTGCGGGAGGTGTCCCGTCAGAAGGGGTCACCGTCGGAGACCCCCATCGTGCCAAAACACCATTCCTGGGACTTCAGCGCTGCGAATCCACGTTCTTGTTGCGTCCTGACGACTCTGCGTCGTGCCAGAAGAGTATTCTTGGGATTTCAGCACCGCGAATCAACGTGACTGGTGCGCCCTGGCAGCCCTAAATCGTGCCGGACTGCCGTTCCTGATGCGTCAACAGTGAGAACCTTTGAAACTG